GATGCGTTACTTTAAGTTAGCCAAGTACTTCGAAAAGCGCTGTGACTCTCAATTCGACAGTATTCTTTTTAATTTTTGTGTGTTAACGGTCTCATCACGCCTTGAACCTCTGCAACTGCGTAGAGATGTTGCATCGCTTAGCGCCTTTTACCGCATGTACCATGGTGAGTGCTCTGAAGAGCTGTTCAACCTCATCCCCCCTTCCCCGTTTCTGCTCAGAAGCACGCGTGCTGGCCTTCGTAGTCACCGTTTCACTACCTGCCGAATTCCATCGCGTACTAAAAGGTTCGGTGGCTCCTTTCTCTGCCGCACGGTTGATAAATGGAACTCCCTTCCGGCACATGTCTTCCGTCCCTCTTATGATATGGGGTCCTTCAAACGAGGCGTGAAGAGGCATATTGTAGGCAGGCAGGGTGGAGGTGGCTAATGCAGTGAGGATTTCATCGCTGCACTAGGTTCCTTCGCGTTTGGATACCACTTTCCACTTAACATCAGGTGGAGTGGAGTCATTTGCCTGTCATGTATAAAAAAAAAAAATAAAAAAAATAACACACATTTACTCCGTGTTATTTGTGAACCGATTTTGATGATTCTTTTTTTGTTGGAAAGAGGGTACCTCAGATGTCGACCCATTTAAATTTGAAGAAAATATTCCACCTGTAAGGGTGGCAAACTAGGGGATGAATGACTTTTGAGGTCGGTTTTTTAGTACTTTGTACTGTTTTTTTTTATTTTTTAATAAAATAGTTATAATTATTATGTTATCTTTCTGCAGGCAAACTCCTTATTCATGGCGAGCAGCTACTCAGTTCCTTCTGAACAGCGCGCGCTCAGAAGGCGTGATCGCACTCTGGCGTGGGAACAGCGCGACCATGGCGCGCATTGTGCCGTATGCGGCCATCCAATTCACCGCTCACGAACAGTGGAAGAAGTTACTGCATGTCGATACCCCACAGCAAGCAAAGTAAGTGTAATTCAAAACACAATAGGATTCTTTCCAACAAAAAAAGAACTCTGTAAATCTCAAATGTTATTTTTATATAAAATATAAGTGCGCATTTGACCTCCATCTCACAGGAGCATGCACACCTAAATAATGCCTATTCACTCTCGCCTTGAAAAGGTCCAAGTTATAACGTTCAGGGAACAAGTCTGCAGGCAGGGAATTCCACTCCATAGCCGTTCGCCATATAAATGTGGAAGCGTAACGCTTCGTCTGAATCTTTGGAATATCCACAACATAGGGGTGGAATCCAAGCCCACGCCTAGTCCCCCGATGATGGAAAGGCGGAATTAAATCGTGTTATTCCACCGCACACTCTCCGTGATATATCCTGTAAAATACACATAAGCTGGCAACTTTACGGCGGTGTTCAAGGCTCTGCAGCTTCGCCTCCACTAACTCCGAGTCACCTATCAGCCTCTTGGCACAATTGTCAATGTAGGAGTCTTCGCGCAACACACGTACAAAAGTAGCAGTCGAGCTCTCCTTGTGAAAGAGTTCGTCCAGGGAAGTACTGCCACCTTGTGACGATACTTACCTCTTTCATGGTCATCCCACCTTTTTATCACCCTATTCTCTGGTTCCTCTTCCTTCGTTATTACTTTGCTTCATTCCGAGTCTATAACCAGAAATAGAGACGAAATAAGGGCCATCCGTCCCTAGTAATTCATCGGGCAAATGGGCCTTATATCACTTTTGAATATCAACTCTCGTTTTGCACTAAAACCACAAATTAGACAGCTGAAATAGTACAGCGCCAACAACCGACCTGTGTGTACGTCTCCGTATATTCTAAAAATATTCTGTATTTATTGTAATAAAGATAATATCTCTAAAAATGCCGTGCTGTTCTATTGGTGGTGTGGGAAAAACAGCAAAACATCTAATTACAAAACAAACGGAATCACATTTCATCGGTAAAAATATTAAATATTTAATTACCTATACCTATTTTATTTCCTCCATTATAGCAAAGCTCAAGTTAAACTGGTCGAATTGAAAGAAGAAAGAAAGAAAATAATATTTATTTGGTCTCTACTAGTAATACAAAGTAAATCTTAATATTAAACATTGAGATCCAAAATGGTTAAAACACTCGGCATTCGTCGGGTTGTACATGCAAAACAATCCAACGCTGATATTCTGTGGTGGCCGAGAAACGGAGTGGACGCCACCGACAACGAATCAACAAAACATATCTTAAATTTAAAATAGCAAAATAGAACACTTTACAGAGAAAAGCATTTATATCTGAATACCTACCTTGAAGATTTGATTTATAGATTTGAAGTGAAACATTTGACGACACTCGTCAATTGTTTCGAGTTCGGGCTGGCCAATCGGAGCGCAGCAGACACCGTAATGATTTGGCAGAATAGTTTTCAAACAAATGAAATGACATTTCGTCTCTATTTCTGGTCACACATTCGATGTTTCCATCAAAATTCTCGAAGAGAAAGGACGTGTCCATCGTAAAAACAGCATGCACTGATTGCTTCTACACAACGATGCGCAATAGGTGTGCATCATTGGTGCGCAGAGTGCGGGCCAGCCCCAATATCGCCCTGGCTATGTTAGCTGGCAGGTTAGATTGCCCCTTTATTCGCCATTGTTGTGATAAGCATACCCGCTATGGTGCCGGTTACGGAGGCAATCGATTTAGACGTCAATAAACTATGTGCTTGTAATTTTAATTACAATTTTGACTTTTATTTAATTTTATTCCAATTTTGTATCATTTTATTCAATTTTTATAACTTTTCATTTACTTTTTAATCCGGATTATATTATTTTGATCTTGACTGTATGTATTGATTTCAATTTCAATGTATTTGTTTTGATATGGGTCATTGTCGCACGAAATAAATTTTTATTTATTTTAATCACAATCATATAAACCTTGTGAAACATTAACTGCTTATAAAGCATCAATATTTGTGCGAAAACAGATCCTTTTGTGGTAAGTTCACCTTAACAAGGTTATTATTAACGTTTGATCCGTTGGGAATGTTTTTATACCATTGTTTGTTGTTACAGCGTTTTCCTTACTTTGTTCTTTCTACCTTCTTACAATGGGTTCTTCAAAAAGCGTGTTTACAGGCTCTCAAACTCTCTGCCTCTGCTCATCTGATGTTGCAAATGTCCATGGGGACCGCCTCCCATCAAGTGGCTTGTGAACTCGTTTGCCTTGAGAAAAAAATATGTGTGGATCCAGCGTTACATTCATTATTACGCAAGACCGCGTGACACCCTTATCTATTTCTGCCGCCAAGCAGTAACGTGAGCATTACTGCGTTCCGGTTTTGAAGGGTAATGGTGCTGGTGAAATTACAGGCACACGGGACATGTCAACTTATACCTCAGGGTGGCGGGCACTGTGTCAATGCCTCTCAACTTTATGCGATTTAAAGCTTTGAGTGGCACAGCATCTGTTGTGGGGCCTATCCATCGGGCGCACGACTTGTTCGTCCCCTCACTCGGTATCATAAAAAAAACAGTTAAATCCACCTCCCTCTTTTTTGAAGTCAGTTAAAAAAATTGTACAGACTATACAAATAATAATATTATGATGTTGTCTTCGCCAACAGATCAGCACCAATATACCACCTTATAGCGGGCTCCCTGGCCGGAGTGACGTCACAAAGTGCTACATACCCCCTAGACCTGGCCCGTGCAAGAATGGCCGTCACGTCCTCCAGCCAGTATAGAACGTTAGCCGCAGTCTTCGTGAAGGTTATCAGAAAAGAAGGAATAAGAACTTTGTACAGGTTAGTGTAATTTTATCAGATTATCTCGTATTAACAGGTTGGTGAACACAATTGACAACGACGTAAATCAATTTTGCTACATATGACTACTTTATACAGGTTAGTGTAATTTTAACAGGTTATCTCGTATAAACAGGTTGGTGAACGCAATTGACAACTATGTAAGCCAATTGTCAAAATAAAGACATCATCTTGGATGAAATAAAAATATGCTGATGAAACGATCAAATAATAAAAAAAAAATAAAAAACCCTCCATACAGAACAGTGTACTCCAAAAAGTCAATAAACTCACCATCTGTGAGCCAACAACACGATTTAATAACCTCAAACAAGACAATTAGTTGGACGGACAGGGTCATGAATGTCGGGGTCCTTAAACTTATAGCGAAGGAGGTGGAGCTGGTGCGCACTGTCTAGCAGCGGAACGTTGCCTATTTGGGTCATGTACTACGACATGACAGATACCATCTATTACACACCATAATGACGGGCAAAGTGGCTGGGATTCGAAAGTTTGGAAGAAGGACGTCATGGCTTCGTAACATCAGGGAGTGGACCGGCATCCAGACCGTGGAACAATTGTTCAGGCTAGCTCTGGACAAAGAAAGATCTAGAAAACTGACTGCCGACCTTCAGTAATGGCGAGTAATTTGTAGAAGAATGACCGAGATCCCTACACTAACAATCAATCTGAGAAAAGAGCTGATGGTCTTTAAAAAGCTAAACAGATGCTTAGCATAGCGTCTGGCACGGTTTGCTGGAAGACGTTGGTTCGAATCCAGCTGGATCGAAGGATTTTTTTTGTGTGTATTAATAATTATTACAACCCAGTGGAGTAATTTCACAAAAATATATTTTATTTATTTCATTTATTTATTATTTAAAACTACAACTACCATTACAGTTATAACCAATGCGATAGTGTACAAATTCATATGTAGATTCTTACATTAAATCCATAATAAAAATAATAAAAAAAGAAATCAACTACACGCTAAAATTATTACGAAACATGTACATACGAAATAGCGTATAATGTTATCTTTGTGAATTCCCACAGATTTATTATGGTGGTGAAAACATTCTAACATTCAATAAAAATTTAATTACAGTTAATAGCGACATCTCCAGTCAGCTAATGGTAGCTGTAAAGGTACCTGGATGAGTCAAGAAAAGCTTTCATAGATTTCTCACAGATGGCGCTACGGCAAAAACGTCGTTAAAAACCGGAAAACAAAGACCTGCAACAAGCACATTCATCAAACATAGCTCAATACCATCCCGAA